CTAATAAAAAAAAGAGTGCATGTAAATAATTGTTAGTAACAGAAAGCAGTCACAAAGGGGCACAGGAAACTCTTGGGGGTAATGGGTATGTTCACTTTCTTAATTGTGACAATAGTTTCAGAGATGTATAAATATGTGAGAACTTTTCAGATATACACTTCAATTAAGTACAATTTATTGTGTGGCAATTATTCATCAATAAAGCTGTCAAGAAAATGGAGATTTTCTTCTGGAGATACTCAATGTTTTACAAATGCAATGATCTAAGGACAGAAATTTGCTTCAAGATAATGCAGAGATGTGAGGTGAGATGTGGGTGTGACTAGATGCAAGAGTGATGTGGAAAATTGGCCACCAGGTGACAAATGTTGAGGTGGGTTCATTTTTGTATGTTTGAAATACTATATTTAAAAAAGGCCAATGTAGCTGGGCATGGTGGTGCATACCTGTAATATCAGACTTGGGAGTCAGAGGCAGGGGTATCCTGAGTTCAAGGCCAGCCTAAGCTACATGGAGAGACTCTATTTCAAATGAAGAAAAAAGAGGAGGAAGGTTTGAAGGAAGAAAGGAAGGAAGGCCAATGGAAAATGTGACTTTAACTCCAGGAATGTGGTATACACTACTATCACATTTCTTTCTTTGGAGCTGATGAAAGGCCTTGTTACCTAGGTTACGTTATTAGGTTTTACTGAGTTCAATAAAAATGCGTGGGGGTGATATAGTCCACATGACTACATGAATTGATTAAAATTGATGTGAGGCAGAATTAATAATTAATCAATGCAGGCTGGATTTTCTCCAAAAAAGGGTCACCTGGCAGAGGCAGGGACAGCATGAGATGAGCTACAGGGCTGCCTTGAGTAATGCTTTGTAGATCAGCTCACTGTATGTGCATCAAAGTCATGCAGTAATTGTGAGCCATAAATGAGGAGTTAGAGGTGGACCCTGGAGTCCTCCTCAGCATCTGAATCCTCCAGTGCAGGCATCATTATCCCTTGTCCCCACACCCCTGCAGGATCAACACTCAGCTGCAGAGGGAAAATTCCAAGCCTGCTAAGCATGAGGAGCCAGTCCCCTAATGAAGGAGCTAGTCCATAAAATTTTCTTGAATGTCTGTTGAAGTCTCCCTCATTAAATCCTCAGAGGATTTTACTACCTGTGAGGGGTTGATAACTAACAGCTGCAGGGAATTAACACAGGGCAGGGCAGAGAGTGGGGACACAGATGCCCCACCACAAAGGCATTAAAGTCCATGAGAGCCAAAGCATGTCTGTCGCAAAAGGCAAATGGGTCACTTTACTGACTACTTACATCCACAAAAGTTTGTTTATGTGGACCATATCAGTTAGGTTGTTTGGGTATGTGCCTTTATAATTACAATTTTTAATTTTATTTATAAATGTTGGAAAGATAAGTCAGTCTGGTGATCTCAGAAAAATGGTGAATCAAAGACTTGAAAAGTCTCTCCCCTACAAAAGTAACGAGAAAACTGACAAAAAAATCATCAGACTCAACTTTTATAGAACTCTAGAAATTAGCCAAATGCTTCCAGCCATCCTGCCGTTGTTCACTTGAGCAAAATGATTGAATTTCACTAAGAACAGTGGGTGTTGTAGCATTGCATTTGCCCATTCCTGTCACACTCACTCCAGTTTAGAGTAATCTTGATAACCAACAGCTTCTAATCATGGGGAAACCTGGACTGATGGTTTTCTGAGAGACTCCATTTGCAAGGTTATCTTTATTTAATCTAACTTGAAGTTTACCCAGTGTGAAAAACCATTTCCTGTAGGGCATTTGTTAAAAATACTCAGAGGCAATTGTTTAATTTCATAGATGTTTGAGGCAGTGGATACCAGTTAAGGCAAATAATAAACTAGCTGAAAAGCTCCAAGTAAAAGCTGGAGATTGAGATGTCTACTGGGCACTTGCAAAGCTCTGGCAGTCTCAGGAATCTAGAAGTCTGTGAGCAGGAGTGAGCAAAGCTTTGCCCAGAGCTGGTGTATACTCAGAAAAGACCCAAGAAGGTTCTTAGTTCTCTGCCTCACACGAGCTTCTGCACAGGCAGAGTCGAAGACTAAGGAGGCATTGTTACTGCCTCAGTGGCCCAGCATTCACATACAGTACCTCAGCAGACAGGGAGATTTATTGATTCTCGATTTTTAAGGAACTGTGTCAAATCATTATATGGCCACTAAGTTGACTAAGGTGAGGAGTCAGTGGACATTTATTAGGGAAACTGGCCCAGGCAATTATGAAGGCTGAGAGTCCCACGGTAGGTCATCCACAAACTGGAGAACTAGGGAATATAGTAGCATGGCTTAGTCCAAGTCCAAAGGCATGAGGACCATGGAAGCTGATGGCATAACTCTGAGTACAAGGCTGAAAGCCTGAGAAACTGGGTGGTGTTGTGCAAGTTTTGTATAGTCCTAGAGGATCTGGAGCGCTTATATCTAAGGGGAAGAGGAGAAAGGGGTCTCAGCTTCAAAGAGAGATAATTTGCCTTTCCTCTGCCTTTGGTTCTGTCTGGTTCCTCAGCTGATTGGATGGTGTCTGCCCACATTGGATGAAGGTGGGTCTTCACCATTCAGTTCACTGATCCAAAGTTAATATTTTCTGAAACACCCTCACAGACACACTCAGAAGTGATACTTGGCCAGATAGCACACTAACCCTTAGGCCAGTCAGTTGACACCTAAAATTAACCATCAAGGTATTAATTGCAAACCCCAAGGTAACTTCCAAGATTATAACTAAAAAAAAAAAGTAAAATAAATGATAAAATATCAAAATAGTACACTAGTACTATTTAGTAGAATTACCTATTTAATACAAAAAGAATGCAAAAATGGGAGAATAGAAGAACAAAAATAAATAGCCAAATAGCAAGCAGATGCAAATCCTACCCTATCAGTAATTACATTAAATGCACATGGATTAAAATTTCAATTAAAAGACAGAGAAGAGCAGAATGTACAAAACAAACAAAAGCTATGATACAACTATATTCTATCTATATTGAAACAATTGGGTTGAAAGTAAAAACGTGGAAGGTGATATACCATGTAAACAGTATCAAAAATAGAAATGAGTAACTGTACTAATATAAAAACACACTTTAAGGTAAAAGTGTTACGAGAGACAAAAATGACAACTTATATAAAAAGGGTCAATCCATCAAGAAGATATAACAATTATATAAAAATATACACCTAACAACAAAGCTCCAAAATACTGAAGCAAAAACTGTCAGAAACAAAGAAACAGATGACTCAAAAATAATAATTGGGGAACTCAGTATCCTCAACTTCAATAACAGATAGAACAAGTAGGCAGAAAAGATCAACAATGAAGTAGAAAACTTGGACAGCACCACAAGATCGTCACAGACGTGTGTAGAAAACTCCACCAAACAACAGCTGAACACATTTTTCTCAAGTGCAGAATGAAACATTCTCCAGGTCAGACCATGTGGGAGGCCATGAGCCTTGTCTCAATACATTGAAAACGAATGAAATCATAGCGTACCATCCCTGACCACAGTGGAATGAATCAAGACACCAATAACAGCAGAAAAAACTGAAAAATTTGAAAATATACTTAAATTTTAAAAACACACTAAAGATAAACAATGTGCCAAAGAAGTATAATCCTGAGGGAAATTGAAGGATATTTTAGGATAAATGAAAATGAAAACACAGCATATCAAAACTTCTGAGATGTAGCAGAAGCAGGGCTAGAGGAAGATTGTGAACATCTGCATTAAGAAAAGAAGAATCAATCAATGATTTAAACTGTGACCATCTATATTAAAGATCAACAATTTAATCTTACACATTAAAGAACTAATAAAAGAAGAGAAAACCTAACCCAATAAGACAGCAGAAGGAAGGGAAATGATAAAGATTAAAGATTAGAGCTGAAATAAACAGAGAATAGAAAAACAACAGAGAAAATTAACAAAACCAGAAGTTAGTTATTTGAAAAAGATTAAGAAAACTGAAAATCCTTTTTTTTTTCTTTTTGGCAGTGCTGGGGTTTGAACTCGGGGCCATGTGTTCATTAAGCATTCTACCACTTGAGCCATGATCCTACTCTTTTTGCTGTTTTTTTCTTTCTTTTTTTTTAATGAGGTCTCAGATTTTGCCCAGGGCCAACCTTACACCATGATCCTCTTTTTTTTTGAGTTGATAAGTTTTTGTTTTATTTGAAAGTGTTTTGTTAAACATTATTGTCCATATGTAGAAATCATCTTTAACACTGAATTTGTTTTTGTTTGCAGTGTTTCCCCTTTTACGGCTTTCTCCTACCCCAGCAGATGACTACAACTTTAATTTAGATGATGATGAAGGAGTTTGTGATCTGTTTGATGTCCAGATACTAAATTACTAGATTCCATGGAAACTTGGGACTGGTTATCTACCTCTAACTATGTAACATTTTAGACTTCTTAATAACCTAAGTATTTAAAATAATGAATGTAACACCTATTAGTTCACTGATTCTGAAGTGTTCTTCTCTAATACTTTCTCTTTTACTTCACAAAACTTCATCTATAGAAACAAAGGGCTCTGACTGCTTCAGGGGTAAAGTGATTCACCAGCCTCCCTTCCTTCTCCCCCAAAAGTAATTACATTTTGGGATTTCAACTTCTCTTCCAATTCTTAATCCTTCTGTAGCTTCCTTTCCTGAGAGTAAAGTTAAAGTGGAGTTCAGGTCATCAAAAACAAAAATGGTGGCCAAGGACTAATCACTTACACTTTTACTGCCACAAAACTGTATTTCTGTATGTCCTTCAATTCAGACATTTCACTGCCATTTATAAAGTGAAGGATGTAAATGAGGATATATAACTGTTTCAGTGAACAGATTTTGTGAAGTGCCTTCTGTTTTAGCACTTTAAGTTTATCACATTTTGTTGACTTCTGACATTCCACTTTCCTAGAGTATAGAAAAGATCTGTTTAAGTAGTTTGTTTTTAAAATGTGCCAGTGCCTGTACATTAACAAGATTTTTTAAAATAAAGTTGTATAAAACATTTAATTTATTGGTCTTTCAAGAGAATTATTACAACTGAGCCATTAATCTTGTAGCTTCATCAACATTAACTGGTTCATTTTCATGATGCTGCTGAGGAATCAGCTCTTTCTGCAGAGGTTCAAGAGAAAGGCCTTTTGAGAAGTGTGCAAGTTCCTTCTGTATATTTACAAAAGCTTTATTCATTCTGTTAACTTTTTCATCATTCACAATTTTTATCTTCTTAAGATTTGTGGTAACTGGTTTTGCTTTGTTTTTAGCCTTAAAGTTTTTTTGACTGGCTATGTGAAATACATTCTGGGACTTCTGCCCTCTTAGTTTGTTCTTGGCCATTGTCAGAACTCAAGACCAGCCCAGGCGCCAAGTGACACCATCAGCACCCACCATGATCCTCTAACCTATGCCTCTTGTGTAGCTGGAATTACAGATGCATAACACCAAGTCTTGCTTATTGGTTGAGATGGGGTCTCTCTGGCTGTTTATCTGGGAATGGTCTCAAATCCCAATCCTCTTGATCTCACCTTCTCAAGTAGCTGGGCTGACAGTTCCTTTTGTGGACACACTAGGAAAAAAAAGAAAGAGTACTTACCTTATTAATGTCAGGAATGAAAGAAATGATAGCAATGCCGACTTTTCAGAAGTAACAATTACAGAGAAGTGCTATGAAAGAGTCTATGTCAACCAACTGGGTAACTAGATGAAATGGGGTAATTTCTAGAATGGCATAATTATGAAAACTAACTCTAGAAAATAGAATTACTCAGCAACAAGTAAATATATGGAATTAGAAATGCTTCTGTGGTGAATTCTATGGTGAAATATTTAAAGAAGAATTAACACAAATCCTTGAGAAATTCCAGAATGGAGAAGGGGTGGGAACACTTTGTGAATCATTCATTCTGTGAACCAATATCATCCTGATACCAAAATTAAACAAAGACATTGCAAGAAAAGGAAACTGCGTATCAATAGTTCTATGAACGTAATACAAAAACTGCCATAAAATGCTAGCAGATGAACTCCAGCGATAAGATGATTATATAGCATGACTGTGCAATCTGTGCATAAAAATATTTGCAAATTGCATACCCAGAGTACATAAAGGATTATTGCAACTCAATCATCAAAGACAAAAATCCCAATTAAAAATGGATGTGAAATATGAATAGGTAATTCTCCCCAGAAGAAATACAAACAGCCAACATTAGATAAATGCTAGTCAAAACCACAACGAAGTGCCACTTCATTCCCACTAGGATGACTAAAATAAAAAAGACAGACATAGCAAGTGCTGGTGAGGATGTGAAGAAATTCGATCCCTCAACACATTGCTGGCAGGAATGTAAAATTAGTTCAGCTACTTTGGAAAGGAATTCGGCGGTTCCTGTATGTTAAGCATAGGTTATCATCCAACCCAGCAGTTCCACTCCTTTATAGATACCTAAGAGCATTCAAAACATGTTCACACAAAACCGTGCACAAATGTTCATAGCATCATTATTTAATTAATTAGACAGGTAAAGAAATTTTCTGATCTGCCTTGGTCCACAGCAAACAAAGATCAGCTAAAGGCTAAAGACCATGTTCAGCGACACCTTCCCAGGGCTTTGCAGGGTCTGGAATGCCTTGTTACCATGGTCTAGCATAGAGATGTCCACAGACTTCACAGCTTATGAGAGTTGTCAAGTAGAAATCCCAGAGTTCCCTGCTGCTCTCCTTGGAATCAGATTGCAATGTGGCATTCCCTAACATTGTGCTTGGCTCCTCAAAACTGTACAGAATGAGGTCTTGAGGTCTGTCTTATTCATACCACTGGCAAGAGAACTTGAGTGGACTCATCTCTGTTCTCTGTGGTCTTGCTGCTTTTGTTCCTGTGGGTGCCTAAGGTGAGCACCCAATAAATGGCTGTAGTAGTAGTGGTGGTGGTGGTGATAGTGATGAGATGGTGATGGTGGTGGTGACAATCGGGATGTGGTAAAGATGGTAGTGTTGATGGTGGAGGTGATATTTCAAGGCTGATTTTATGGCACACCTTACTTCATTGGGTTGACAATTTGGGAAAAATAACTGAACTCCATTCAGAAAAAATCCAGGGGTACACAACCTAGGCTTTAAAGGGACAGAAGAGCTATTCTACATAAGATAGAAGAGTAACCTGATTTTTCTAGGTGAGAACGAGGACCCCAGATGAAAGAGGGTCAGAGATGAGGCATCAAAAGAAAAAAGAGTTTGGGGAAACAAGAAAATTACCCAGTGATGAATTTTTTTTGGAGGAGAGTTGGGACTGTGTGACATCCACTCCTTCCTAGGTCTCCACACATGATCTTTGATAAAGTCTATGCTTGCTTCTCCCTAGTGGTTTTTGAGAAGTAGACTTTTGTTTTGGGCTTTGTATGCATGTGTGTGTTTGTATGTGTATGTGTGTGCATGTGTATGTTACTGGGATTTGAACTCGCAGCCTCACTTTTGCTAGGCAGGTACTCTACTCTTGTTTGCTCTGGTTATTTTGGAGATAAGGTTTCACTTTTTGCCCAGGCCAGCCTGGACTGTGACCTTCCTATTTCAAGCTTTCTACTGTCCCTGGATGACAGGTACACACCACCATGTTCATCTTTTATCCATTGAGATGGGTCTAGGAAACTTTTTTGCCCAGACTGACCTCAAACAGTAATCCTCCAGATCTTAGCCTCCCAAGTTGCTAGGGTTACAGGTGGGAGTCACCAGTACCTGGCTCTTTTTGGTTATCTTGAACAGAGTATGAGTTCTGTGTTGAGTTGAGTGTGTGATCAAAAACACAGTTGCAGGACCCAGAAGATGGGGGACTTCTGATATCTGGTATCCATTATTATTACTATGATCTATTATTGCTATTAGTTATAGTAATATAGTATGTTAATTATAGTGACATATTAATAGTATTCTCACTAGTGAATCTAGAAGAGGGACAGGACAATCAGCTAAGCATGGTTAGTGAGGTGAGCAAATGAAAGAGTGGAATAACTGTAAACCCTTCAAATAGACCCCAAAAGGAATTATAGAAGGAGGAGGATGGCTTAAACTTCAGAGGATGGAAGAAGATTTTGACGGTATAAGCAAGCCAGGCCACTAGCTGTGGACAGCACACTTGACTGCCAGGGTGGAGGTTGATGATTGTCCCTAGGACCTTGCATTGGGAGACATCATATGTGCGCAGTTTGGACTTGTGTTAGGAGGTATCGTATGTGTGCAGTTTTCACTTCTATTCTTATGGTGGTCCTGGAGAGGGGCCAAATTTCTTGAACGCTAGTGGAAGATATATTTCTTGTGCTCTAATGGCGTGATGATTTTATGCCTGCAGGGTCAATTAGAGGAACATAAACACTTAGAGAAGAGAGTACAGGGGAAGAGGAGCAAGCAAGACCTGTGCATTCAGACTTACAGTTCAGCACCAGAAGCATTTATCAATTGTCTACTGTGTGCTTAGAGCTATGCCTTTGTCTACTTTGAAATGCAGGAACCTTTTTATCCAATCAACAAAACAGTGCCTGCTGCATATAGTCACATGTTCTACACACTGAAACTGACCAAGATGCCTGGGTGTGACTTTTCTCCTTCTCACTGCCCTTGATATTGAAGTTTATTTATGAATTTCTTGACATTAATCATATTGGAGAATCATTTGGCTGCGAGAAACACTGTAACATCACTCCACAGATACCTTTGTCATTCTGAGAGATATCAAAACTGGCCTTTTGTTGCAGCCTGGCACATCTCCTCAAGAAGAGAATCTAGTGGCTATTTTTCCTCAACAGTACCATGACTTCATAATCTGGACTATATCCAATAGTGCTGGTAGGATGGTTTTAAATTACTTTGCGTTTATGAAGTCTGTGCTCATGCAGTAGTCTCAGGTGATCACTAGTGCACAGATAGGGGGTTTGCTTTTCAAGCATATCTATCTATCTGTGGATCTCATTATCTACCTGTCCAGCCATCTACCATCTATTATCTGTAACTTTTATGCTGATGTTGTAAAAGAACCTAATTTCTGCTCTAAGACCTCATTTTCCTGCAGTGAAAACTAATTTTTGGGTATCAAAACCACTTGCCACCCTGCCCAGTGTTTCATCTAAGCTTCTTTCTGCCAATATCATAGGAGGAGGTGAGGAATGGGCAGATAATGTCTCATGAAGAGACCTGCCAGGGCCTTTCATCCCATTGACTCTGGTCCCTCGGAGTCCTCCTTCCTTCAGCCTCTGCATCTGCCTCCACCACAGGAACTTGGGAGGAGCCTACCCTGTGGTTCTTGTGTCCTCCTAGGCCTTCTGGAAATGCTTCCTTCCACGAAGAGGAGGCAAGCCCCTATGATAAGCAGCCTGAGGTTCCATGTACCATGTTTTGGCCTCTGGGGAGAGAAGACCAATGTGGTATCTTTGAACCTGGAGGCCCATAGAGAACAGCTGTGGGGAAAAGCATGTTGTGACAAGAAAAACATCTCTGCCAGGGGCAATTCCTCCACACCAGTTGTAAACAGGGTCAGGAAAGCCACCAGCTGTGCTAATGCTGGGCTCAGAAGGCTCTTGATGTGTTCCCAGAGAAAGTCCCAGGTCCATCCCAGCCACATTCACTGGTGTCAGGGCTAAGTGGGTGAAACTTGACAGATAGTTGGCAAAGGGAGAGGAGGGGGAGAAGTGAGCACAAGAGCAAAGGCTGTTTGGGTTTTCTCTGTACTACCTGTATACACACAAAATCGCATAGGTAAAAACCTTTCCCATGGTTTCAGTTTCTTGTGGACCATTTTACATCTCCAGTTAAGTGCCTTGAAAGTGGAGAGAGCGTGTGTCTGTCAACTTCACTGTGCCTCATCCCTCAACCAAAAATATTAATAATTAAATCAAAGGATTTCTGATAACCTATAATGTCTTACTATTTTCTTTTCTTTTCACAGTACTAGGGTTTGAACTCAAGGACCTCCCACTTGCTAGGCAAGTGCTCTACCACTTGAGCCATGCTCAGTCTTTTTTTACTTTTAGTTTGTTTTTCAGATAAGGTGTCATGCTTCTGCCATGGGTTGGCCTTGGACAATGATCTTCCTACCTCTGCCTCTCAGTAGCTGAGATTATAGGTGTGCATCACCAAACCAGGTCTGGGTTTGTTTGTTTTTTTGACTTTTTTGTCATATTTTTGTAGTGCTCAAAATATTTTTTGAGTTTACAGAGATTTCTTCTTAAATGTAGAATTTACGTTCACTGAAATACATACTTCTTATATGTACCTGAGATGACTTTTGACATCATCTGCCCAGTGATATCAAGGTAAAGAATCTTGTTATTGTCTTTGAAATTTCCCCTCTGC